ACATGCTTGACCTGTATGCTCTGAATAAATGAGGATCATAATCCTCTTCTTTAAGAAAAGAAACGCTGTGGCACCGTAAAGCTGAGTAAGCACACCTCCAAAACACTTTAACAAATCTGAACACCGGTTTTGCAGGCTATGCTACTCCTGAGAAACAACCTTTATACTTCACCCACCACACGGAAACCTCAAAATTAGGTCTGCAACTGACTATAACTTACACAACAGCTTATGGGCTGTGAATGGTGATATTAGAAGTAATAGGATTTTGTATTAATATTACAGTAAATATGAAACTGTATGCTGAGCCAAGCAGTAATGAGCCAAGATGTTAAAGTTGTCACGAAGGCTGCCAGCAGGTAAAAGGTCATCGATCTTGATAACATTAATCTCCTCATTGCTTATTGGTTTCCTATATTGTAATCATTTTTCCTAATTTGACAGTTTGGCCTTTGGGTGGCAGCACAGGGAAGTTTTTGAAATAATCAAAAAAGAAACTGTGAATGAAAAGTCTCACACAAATAATCATAAAGAAATCAAGTATTTTTCGGTGGGTAGTTCAGGCATAGTGACTAAAATCTTTTGCATACAGCTGAGTGCAGCAGGAAATATGAATGATAAATTTGAACCGTCCATTAGCTGCCATTATCACCTTATTAAAAAATAATAATAACTACTATAAGTGCCACCACATGTAACACCTGACCTGATGTATTTCTGAATGCTGATCTCTTTGGAGATGGATAATGGCAGGATGAGGAAGAAACAGAGCAGCACCAAAGCGAAGCGCCGGTCCATGTAGAAGCGTTCTGGCATCTCTGACTCCGGAAGATTAGTTACCAGCTCATGCAGGGAGTCGCCCACTGACGGACACAAAACAGCGACGTAGCAACACACATATATCACAGATGTGAAAGTTAAATGCATTTTTTTTTTATAAAAAAAACAGGGAAAATGCAAATAAAACTGTGCTGTCTAATTCATGAACAGCAATCTGCTTCTACCAATTTCCCTGCTTGCTTATCTCAGTCTGAATGTTTGGTTTTAAAAAAATAAACTTGAAAAAAGATGTCGCACAATGAAAGTGCTGAAAAGTCCAATTCAAAACAGATCACAGTGGTAAATGTGCCCAAAAACCTAAATCAAAAACACATTCTTGTGCTTCAATCGCTTTCCTTTTTTCTAAAAAAGTAAAATATGTCTAGAAATCCATTTACAAACTATGAATCTGTGGCTCCATAAACTACAGATGGATGGATTTTATAAACCAAGTGTACGGATTTATATATTTTTCCCACTGGCCCTTCAAGAAAGCTGTATTTTAGAGGATATGAATTATGAATCTATTTCAGTGCCTGTAATCTGGACAGAAAGATTATATACAGTAGGATCCTATATTTAATCACTTTAAATCTGCATTTCATCTTAGAGATGACACGAGCTGAGCAAGGCTGCCAAAACTGCAGTTGCTCTCTGGTTTTAAAATACGCTGTTGAACATTTATGCATGTACTGTCTATTTGCATCACTCTCTCAATTGTTTTCACTCTTCTAACTGACGTTTAGCGCATGCTCGCTTCTTTGAAGTATCAAACTGAACTGTATGCAAGAGGCAAGATCAGGGCTGTAAAATTAATGTAACAATGTAGTACAAAAGTCTGCACTTCCTCTTCCAGCCACTTGAGGCTGCCTCCAAAAGCAAATAGATCCCCCGTTTTTTATTTTTATTAGCAACATAAAACAAATCTGTCACTCAACACAGTTCAATCGTATTTATAAATCTCTAGTTCACAACTGTGACATTTGACATTTGCTGAACAACTGACATTAAAATCCACCAGAAATGTGTCGAATCAAACCCGCAACGAGCTGCGGTGGTTTCATGTTGCTGCAACACAGAGCCAACAGATGCATTTCTGTACCACTGTGTCTGCATTTATCCATTCAAACACAACACAACACTGAGAGTTCAAACTAAATACAGTATTCAACACACTCTGAATAGCTGCTGCTGGCAAACAATGTTGGATAACAGGAAAATGATTTAAAGAAAAATAGTAAATTTAGGAAATGATGAAAGATTGAAAAATAAAAGTGAACATTAACTCACACTTTTCCAGCTGGTCATCCACTATGACCAGAAAGGCCACAGAGATCATGAAGAGGTTGAAGACAAAACAGATCTCACACAGCTGGCCAATGACATGCCCACATATCTTCTTCACCACCGCCTGGTAGGTGCATTGGCCACTAATGGACGAGGAATAGCCCAGGATAATCAGGCCGCTAATCAGGAACACGAGGGAAACCTGAGCAGGTGAAGAAAACCAAGACAATAAGACAATGTTAAATCAACTTTCAAGTGTTATTTTAACTGTGTTCTGCTCAATACATTTAAATGACAAAAGCCTAAATTCAGTCAAACTGAATACCCTATGTCCACATCTAGCTCTAGGTCCTGAGTCCAAAAGTGCTTGGTAAATAAAAGATTATCACGAAACATTAAAGTTTTCTTTTTGCCCGTGCACGTTTGGGAAGCATCAGTGTTTCACTAACTTCTGATCAGGTCATCATGTCTATTTTAAATGTATTGCATACTCTGCCGATGGATAACATAAGTGACGCTAATACAATTACTAAATGCCTGCTTGGATGCATTTAATTTATTGGCAGTGTGACAAATGTATTTAATGAATGACCCCATGGAAAACTAATAAATGTACTGGGTGTCACAGCAACTCAATAATGCACTTAGACATGTAATGGTGACATTGTCAAGATGACCTGTTCATGGTCAAACTGAGAAATCAGGGGATTTAAGTGGCTGTAAATACATGGTTGTTAGTGCCAGAGAGGCTGGATTAGTATTTGGATACTGGATTATGCTGATCTACTGGGAATTTTCCACTCAACCATCTCCAGAGTTTATAGAGAACAGTCTGAAAAAGAAAAAATATCCAGTAAGCACCAAGAGAAGTCAGAACAGAATGACCAGACTGTTTCAAGTTGATAGGATGGAAACAGTAATTCAAATGAACACTTGTCTTCTATGCAGGAGAGCGTCTTTGAATTCATAAAATGTTAAACCTGGAAGCAGAAGACCAGACCAGGTCTCATTCTTGTCAGGTAAGAACAGGAAACTGAGGCTACAGATTTCTTGTTCTGGGCTCACCAAAACTGGGCATCAGCGGACTTAGAAAATATTGCCTGGTCTGATGAGTCTTGATTTCTGCTGCAACATTTGAAAGGTAGAGTCAGAATTTGGCATAAACAACATCAAAGCATGGCTCCATCATGCGCTGTCCAGGCTGGTGGTGGTGCTGTAATGGTGTGAGGGATATTTTCTTGCCACACTTTTGGCCTCTTAGTACCAGATGACCATCAATTTAAATGCCACAGCCTACCTGAGTACTGTTGCCTGATGTCCATCCCTTTATAACTGCTGTGTACCCATCTTGTGATGGCTGCTTCTAGCAGGACAGCGCGCAACATCACAAAACTCAGATGAACCCAAACTGGTTTCTTGAACATGACAGAATATTCACTGTAATCTAACGACTTCCATAGTCACCCGATACCGATGCAAATGACAAGTGTAAAACAACTGCATGATCGATCATGTAAATGTGGACCAAAACCTGTGAGGTATGTTTCCAGCACCTTGTTAAATTTATGCCACAAAGAATTTAGACACTTCGCGAAGCAGTGCTACC